AGGAAAAAAGTTTTACGGAAAAGAACGAAAGAAAAAAGTAGAAAGCAAATATGAATGCATTGATGTCACAATTTCTAATTGTGACAACACATAGGAAATGATCATTGATCCATCCGTTTTCTATTCTTTGCTCTCAGGCATGAAACTAGACCAAGTGATTTATAGATTAAAACATAGATGGTAGTTCTTTAAATTATTATTTCAATTGTGATAAATTGTTCTAGTTTATCTGTGAAGATATTTTCTCTAAATGTCCTACCTGAGCATGAGCCGTTGGCCATATTCACCATAGGCTTCTCTGCCTACCATTTTCCATGTTTCTCTGATGATTCTTGCATCGTCAGGCGTCAGTGCTTCTGGCTCGATTTTAGCCTGACTGCAACCCATAATATTTGTATTTTACTGATTATTTTCTATGTTTTTGTCTGTCTGTTTACAAGTTCACGGTTGTCGTTGAATAAAAATAACGATAAACAAGAAAAAAAATATTGTCCAATTGACATTCATCGGTAATCGTATAAAGAATCCACGTTGACTTAGAACGAGAAATTTGGTACGAGTTTTTTTTTTCAGGAAAAGTAAAGTAGAGACAAATAGGGATCGTGAATATCAGAAGGACTAGTGGCAGCAGTAGTAGTAATGGTACGACTATAGCGTCGAGAACAATGAAAACGACGAGTAGACGACAGCACTAACGTCGACGATCGGAGAAGCGTCGGGCCCGGACGAGACAAAGCGATGATGATTAAACGACGAAACCAGCGACAGTGATGGCGGCGAATCGCTCTTGCTGTTATTCCTATTGTCGTTGTTTGTTGTCATCCTCCTATAGTAGTAGTGGTGCACCACATCAAAAAGAGAGAGAATGTGTGAGAAAAAAACTCGGTGTGTTAACGAAAGAAGAGAGAGAGACGGATTATGGTCTCTTCAAATCATAAGTAGTGCGCGCAGCAATAAAGTACAAAAACTTAAATTCCCGTCCATACGCACACACATACAAACATCATAATCATTCCACTGCATCATTATAATGATGATTGTTATTAAGCAACAACACAAATAAAAAATCACAAACAGTCAAGACACTCTCTAGGCGTATTTACAGAATAAACTACTTTGAAAAATTAGAATATTACTTGATAATGCTTTTTTTTTGTCTGCCTATCTATCTATTTGACACAGCCATAGTTTTGCATATGTCTCATAACAACATTTAAAAGCAATTTTCATTAAGATACATTTATATACAGAGTCTCATGCAAGACTGAACTTATCATAGACGTCTATTAGAAAAAAAAATTACTTCATTATTTAACAAAATAGGAAAAAGAGGAAAAAAATTAAGATTAGAAAAAAAATGATAGATGACCAATGAGATTGAAAATCAGCTGTGTAAATGATTTCTGTAATTTGTCATTATGTTGAATATTTATTCACTATCTTTGTTCTCTCAATGGGAAAAGTCTCTGAAGGAAACAATAATGTTTCAAAAAAAACCGTAGTTAATCAAAAACAAAGAAAAATTAGTCGATTAATAATAATAATAACAATAATGATACGTTATTAAAGTTGAGTCTATCTAATATTTATCGATTCTTTCCTTGTTCAAACAAAAACAAAAGATGTTTACTAATTGCGATAAACAGTGAAAGAGTACAATAAATAGATATTAAAGAAAAAGAGTAAATAGAAAAAAAAGGAGTACTTAATTATCGGATTCAGAGGAAAAGAAAAGAAATTCTCACAAAATGCATTTTTTTGGATAGTTCGATCATGTTCGAACAACTGACAGGATCTCATTTATTTGAGTCTACTTGACATGTTCTCCGATTTTTTTTCCTTATTTTTTTCTCTTTTCTATAACAAAATAACTAAGCTTATTGTTGTTAACCATACCAATGCTGCGATTCTAGTCAACTTTTATATGATACTTACAATAGGTGTGCGTGTGAATAAAATCTAATGAAACATAGAGGACTTTTTTGCTATAGCTCCACATTCTTTTTTCTCCTTTCTTAGTCTTCTTTTTTTTTTTTATAGCAGTTCTTCTTTTCTCGTCTCCTTTTCCATGACTGTCTTTGCGCTTCTAGTGCTAGCTCACTCTATTTAATAAGACATTTGTTCGCATGAGTCTGCTTGCCTGTTTTGCACAGTTCACATTTTCTCTTTCGTCCCTTCTCTTTCTCTGTCTCTCTAGTTCGTTCCATCTCTTTCCGCTCGTTTCTTACCATAATAAACTGGGTGTCACATAAAAAAAGGAAAAAAAAAGTGATAAGAACGGCGTATTCTCCCTTTGCTGAACTAACTAGACGAGTATAAGTTCTGAGATTTTCATTTTCTTTCGCTGGGTAGCCAGAAAAGGAGAGAGAGACAGCATTATCTCTATTAGTCTCTGTCTCCTCTCATTTTCCATCATCATTATAATCATCAACATAATTAACATTGTTTCTCTTTCGTTATAACCTCCTGTGTTTTTTTTTGGTCTTTTCTATTCTACAACAAGCACTACAACTTCTGCTATTACATCCGCAAATCTGTTAATAGATTTTAAAAAGCACCAAGTATTGTTGTTCTGACTAGTAACGAACAAGTAAGCAGGAGATAAATGAAAGACGCTTTGTCTAGGTTTTTTTTCTCTCCAATTTTTTCTTTTTTCTCTCACGCATTGAGAAACATGTTTTGAAGCGGACGGATGAAAAATGGTCTGGAGATGTCTTGATAGTTTTGCTCTCGGAGAGGACGATGATGATGCTATGAATATATGTTGTAACTGTAATTGAATTGGAAGCTTGCGTTCGCATCAGAGTAACATGTATGAACATTGTCGACAGATGCAATACGGTATTGACAGAAAGAGAATGATGTTTTAATCGAATTGGTCTTATCAACAACCATACGAAAATATTGAATATTTCTAGTTGGTCTCAAGCTATATCTCTTTTTTCAAGTTTCATACTACCTTTATCAAGGAAATAATAAATGACAGTATGGAGAAAAAAAAAATGAAAAAGAAAAATAGAAAATAAACATATCAAATTCTTCTTTCTTACTTCATTATCAAAATAACCTTGCTTTCTATTTATAAGTTACTATATGCAATCAATTTAATAACAAAAATCTAGGCTTGGAAAATGCCTGCTAATTATTGATGTATAATTGAATGTTCAGATAGTCTGATGATGATGAAAAAGAAAAACTTCATCTTCTTTTAAAGAAAAAACACCTTCGCATGTCGTTGATGAAATTGTCAAAAGCAGCGAAGAAAATACGTTGTATGCATGCTGCTAAAGAAAAAGAAAATGTAGTTTTATAATTAAAACTTTTTTTGCTCATTGCAGGTTTGACGACTAAAAGTCAAGAGATAAATTCTAACGAAGAAGGGCAAAAGAAAAAGACGATATTTGATATGTAACTAATTCAATATTTAACTGAAATACACTATTGATGAATTAGCAATAAATCTATCCACTATTGAATTCTCGACTCTACAAGCGTAAAGATCAACACAATACCAATTAGTACTGCAAAAAAAAGAAATAAAACCTAGTCATTAATTGATTATTCAAGTATGGCTGTTCAGTAAAAATGACTTGATTGTATGGATAGAAAGTGAAACATTATCAATTTATGAGAATTTAATATCACATATATATATATATGTAGTCTATCAAAGTTTTATATGAAGAATATATTTCATTTGTCTAGAGTATATATGATGCACGTTGATAACTTGAAAATTCTCAAGCATTTCAAAGTATTACATTGAGAAAACTTCAAAAATGTAGTCATAATAGATTCAAACAACACTTTGAATTATTTTTTGCATCTTTAATGATTATTTCTGTATTATTATTTTTGTCTTCAGTTGGAAAGTCATTGATCTTACGAATTGGTGGTTGAGACAATACATTTGTTTGTTTATTTTTCTAGAAACCAATGAACAATAAATTCTTACTCGAATACGTGACTATCACTCTCATGAAAGGATTTTTGAAGGATTTCAATAAAAGTGCATAGGTAAAAGTTAGTTCATCTTCCATGCGTAGCATTTCTTTTGTTGAAAAGAGCAATGACATAGACACTTATAAAAGAAAAAAAAAGATGTCTACATCGGTGTTTTTTTCTTGCAAATTAAAATAGAAAATAAAGAATTATCAACAGTGCTATTTTTCTAAATAATAGCATATATGTTGTTGATTTTCTTTTAGTTGCTCAACTAGAATAAAAATATTTTTCGAAGTCTTCATTAAAAAAAAACAAGTGAAAGTTGGTCAGCCAATGTTGGACTAATAATATATTACTTCTAGAGTGGCATTTGTTTCATATTTCAAGATACTTTTATATACAATTCATTCCGATTGAAAAAATGTGAATATATTTAAACTTAAGTACTATCGATGATGCTCTTAATCTTTGTTTCTAAATAAGAAAATGAATAATAAATTTATTGCAAATAACTTGAAAAGTTCTTCCTATTCGATAAAAATATTAATTACAGACATAATAAATGACTTTTTTCAAATAAACATCTATATGAAGTATCATTTTTCAATGTTATTAAAGTCTCTTGCCATACAACTATCGAACAAATAAATGCGATTATTAGCTTACAAAATTTCATCAGTTTAAGACAGAAAAAGGAGCACTGTTATTTTAGATTAAAATTTCTTTTTTTTTCTGCTAAATGAAACACATAGTATAACTAATTTCTAATGTAAATTTTATTTATTCAAATAATGGATAGATTTATGATAATATATATACTTATTTCAATATGAGGCAAACAAATTATACATTTTATGAAGAAAATTGTATCCATAATTTTCGTATGATTAGTCAAAAAAAAAACAAACATGTAAAATTGGATATTTTCACCAAAAAGTATAAACGAATAGAACAACATTACTTGGTTTCATTCTTTTCACATAGGAAAAAAAAAAATAAATTTTGTTCTATAAATGTAATATTTCTAATACGATTATTTATAACTTATTGAATAAATGGAAGATCTCAATATTGAACAACTTATCTCTAGACTTATTACTGCTCCTTCTAATAACATACTTCGTGAAATGTCATATTGTCTTATTGAAGCACAAGAAAGTGATTTTGATACATTGATTGCTACATTATTTCATCCATTATTTACTCTGGAAACTTGGGCATGGGAAGTTTTAAGTAGAGATTCTCGACAATGGAATAATGATGAACAAGAATGTTTTGATTTATTTCATAATATTTCAAATTTTAATAAAAAAATAATTTTAAGTAATAATGATGTACATACAAAAGGATCTCTTCTTCTTCCGGCTAATACTGATATTATTGATGGAGTATTTGAACAATTCAAAAAACGAAACGATGAAAATGAACGTTTTTTAACAATAATTTATTTATGGTTTGATAATCTTTCGTTGTTAATGCGTGAACATATAGAATTTGCTTCAGCATCTATAATAATTTATATTAATGAACGTATTACATCTGATATTATAATGACTGATCAGTTTAAAATTTATCTGAATGAATTACAAGATCCATGTCCGTTATTTACAATGAAACAAGTTTTTTATATTAAAACATGTTCATTTTTATTAGGGGAATATTTATGTTCGAAACCGCATGACTTTCCTCATAATGGACAAGAAATTCTAGAATATCTTGCTGATGATTATACAAATATTATACTCATTCATAGTAAAACAATATTATCATGGAGTAAAGATTTACTTTCATGTATTACACATTTGATTGGTCTTATTACTGCTTGTCATTTATGGATTGGTACTAAAGAAGAGATTCTTAAAATGTTTATGATTTCTGATAAAACTATATATGACTATATTGAATCATTAATTGATATCCTTCATCATCAAACATGTCATGAACGAAATCGTCCTCAATTATTAAATGATGAATCAATACTTGTGGATAATATTTTCGAATTATTTAACTATTTCATAAATTTCCAAAATATAATAAATTTTTTTCGTTCTCAAAAGAATTTAGTTGATATACTTTTGAAATATGATGTTATAAACAATGATCGATTTTATTTACGAATCTATAGGCTCCAATCAAAAATTCTTTCTGAAAAACAAATTAAAAAATCAAATATAGTTAATAAGATAAATAAAATTTTCTTTTATTATCTTGACCAAGCATGGAAAAGTCCATTGAAAAAATATAACACAATACCCATTGAAGAATTACTAGAAGGTAAATTCTAAATGAGTTTCATTTCTTCGTTTTTTCTTCTATTTGTTTTTCATTTAAAGGTCTTTTAACTTTATCTCAATATGATACTATGAAAAATCCTATCGCTGATTCAAATGAACTACAATTTTTAATTGAAAAATCTGATGAATATCCAATAATTTATGATATTCTATGGTCTTTATCGTTTGATATTCGTATTCAAGCTGAACTTCGTTTAAATCAAACATTGAAAAATAAATTAGAAAGTAACTATACGAATGAACAAATACAAAATATTATTTATGGAATACAATGGAATTTAAATCCCAATAATATGCAAATAAATACTGATACTAATAAAGCCAAATATGACGTAATGATAAGTTATTCCCATGAAGATAAATCAATATGTACACAATTATATCATGAACTTATTCAAAAAGATTTTAAAGTGTTGATAGACTTGAATGATAAACATCATAATATAATGGATGCAATGGTTCAAGCTGTTAAACAATCTTTTACAATAATTGTTTGTATAAGTAAACACTATAAACAAAGTAATTATTGTCGAGCTGAAGCACAATATGCTTTTGGAAGACAATTAAAAATAATTCCAATATTAATTGATAATTCTTATAAACCAGATGGTTGGCTTTCCTATCTTATTCGTGGTTTATCTCTGATAGATTTTACAAAATATGAATTTTCTCATGGAATGCAAATCTTATTAGATAAATTAAAAATTCCACCTATTAGTGTTCTTAGTACTCTTGTTGTACGTCAACCGCTACAAAATGTTACTAACGTATCTTTATCAACATTGGATTCAACAGATATGTGTCAATGGACACCAAATGATGTTCAACAGTGGTTAATTCAAAATAATCTTTCACAAATGAAAGATTGTTTATCAGGTTTAAATGGTTCATATTTAATTCGTTTGAGTAAAGATATAGCAAAGAATTCACCACAAGAAAATCTTAATTTATTTCAAGAACATTCAATGAAAAAAACAGGAAAAGATATTTCATTAACAGATATATCTAGATTGCAAACTCTAATTGAAGAACACATTCAAAAACCTACAACAACGAAACAATGGAGTCCAAAACTGTGTTGTCGAATGATGTAAAACATAATGCCTCTTGCTTTTGAATAAAAATATTGTGATAACTAAGAAGATTCTCATTTAATTAACATGCCTTCTTAGATCAACTTAAATCTTCATGTTTCATAACTGACTAAGAAAGCTCTTCAGTTATCCTATCGCTTTTCGACCGAGATTGTGTTCATCGGATGAGTGCTAGTGATTTATAGGATAGACTAAAATGATTCCGTTTTTCGGATCTTCACTGTAGAATTATCAAAAACTCACTGACCTATTTTAACAAACAGCTGTGGTCCTCTTCCGTCAGTGAGAAATCCATTTTTAATTTCAAACTTTGCACTGACTAGGTTTTCAATGACATTAGTTCATTGGATAATCTGTAACTTTTCTCGTAATATGTACATCTTCAAAGAGAAAACAAAAGAAAAGCTAAAAGTTGTACAGTCAACTAATCTCATTAAGAGCTCTGTTAATTCAGTAAAATTTCGCTAACTCAAGAACGCGTGCTTGAAAAAAGGAGCCATTCGAAAATTCCCTATGAATTACTGACACTCATTAGATGAACATCGTCTCACAAGTTATTCATATGTTGGATAAGATTGAGGAAACGAAAACTCTTTTTCATTGTCAATCTAATAAAACACATATAAAATTGTTAGCCATCTTACAGCTATTAATTCCATGATGTTCCCCAATGATATAGATTAAAATTTAACTAGACCACACTATCTATTAGTTCTATTTAAAGACTAATTGATCTTTCTGATATAATTAGATTCACTTCTACGAATTACTTTGCAAAACGACTCGACGTATGGTATATTATTTTACTAATAAATTCGTATGATTTCTTTTTGTTTTCAAATCTTTGTCTATAGTTTATTCCAATGTAGAACATCTTTGACGTCAATTGTTTATGGAATAAGTCTCAGATGCTAATTTTTCCTATGCTGGTACACTAGCCATTTTCTAGATAGGTCAATAGAGGATATTTAACTATAGAAAAAATCGAAGACAATGTTTAGTTATTGTTTATTCCCTTTCTGTTCAATTTTAATATTTTTGTCATATTCAAAATAATGATTCATCTACTGGCAGCGCCCTCTATAATTAAAAGAATTTTCATAAAAAGAAAAAAAAAATTTTATATTTTGAAACTTAAAAAAAAAATAGTTAATTGTATTGCTCTATTCTTTCAAGATATAAAAAATGAGACCAGTTTTACAGTTGTCTACGTGCCCGCGAACAAAGACGCACTATATTGTTCAGATGATGGTTTAAAGCGAAAAAACAAATCGGTAATATTTTTATTCGATATCATGAGTTTCGCACGACCAGTACCATCCAAAAGCAGTAGCACTTCGACGGTTATACCTCCATTGCCTGCTTTACCAAAACTGCCGTCTCGTCTGCAATCAAAACGGTACGTTCATCTTTTTAATAAACTCAATATTGAATTATTTCTTTCTTCATAAATAGTATATCTCTTCTTCCACCAACATCAAAAAAAGAAGTAAAACTACCAGAAAATCGAAATGATATTCAATTATCTTCAATTAGAAATCAAAATGATCTTGAAGATATTGTTAAGTAAGCATTTAGTTGAATAGATGTTTTTATTTCGAAACATTCAATGTATTTATGTAGTAATTTATCAACCATTGTCAAAAGATCTGAAGAATTATTAACACCTATTAAACAACCACAAATAGCAACAACTGTTCGTCGCACATCATCATTACATTTAACTAAAATTGAATTAGATCGACGAAAATTCTCAAATTCAATCATGAAACCATTTAATTCACATTGTAATATTTCAGAAAAAAAAGATGATCATCAATCAAAATTACATGATTCAATATCAGATCGGTAAGTAGAAAAAAAAAACTTAATTTAATACAAATAATTTTCTTCTTTAGATCAAGTGAATGTAGTACAAGTGTATCAAGTAGTATACCACGTCGTACTTCTATTCGATCTTTACATAATGTAGAAAAATATTCCGGCATAAAATGTGCTCTTCCATCATTTACATCAACAATACCAAATACATTTAAAGGTTTAGAAAAACATGATACACCAATGAAAAATAAACAAACAAATATTGCATCTTCAATGACTGTTCGTTTTTTTTTTGTCTTTAAAATTTTATATGAATATATACATAGTTCTTTTTTTAAGAATAATCAAATAACCCCTGCGAATACAAATAGCAAAGATAAAAGTCCATGGCGATTACGATTTGAAAAATTTATAAATCATGAAGAACCTACACCTATATCACCATCAACAGAATCAGTTATTGTTAACAAGACTAAAGTAATATTTTCTTCGTATTGTAATTACAATTAAAATTTATTTTTAATTTTTAGACTTCATCACTAGGTAAAGAAAATCGTACACCATCATTTCGTCTTCCAGCACGACGAACAAGCAAATTCAATTTACCGTCATAACTAATGAGCAGACTAAAATCGAAAAATGTCTTGAAACAAATAATCAGACATTAATTCAATATATATATATATATGTGATTTTTTTTCTTGTTTATCAAATTGTAAATAATGTAAAGAAATAAAAATATAACTATTGAGAATTGTTTTTCGTATTAAGGAATGTTCTTTTTTTGATTTCATGATATGGCAACGGATATATAAAGTAGAGATGAAGCCGATTCGGTTCCGCTGGAATTTTTGACTTATCGAATAGTTGTCTAATTTTTGAATGTTAGAACATTTTCTCTATTATTATTCAAAGTAAGACATAACAAACGTAGTAGTTGTTTTGGTAGATAAAAATTCACAAGAATGAGTTAATCAAATTTTTGTTTCAGTAAATATTTGAATTAGGGATCTTGCTTGATTCCAAATAATTAATTTGTTGGAAGAGATCGGTTGAAAATATTTTTTAAACAATCTTTCATGAAAAAATTCATCTCTGTCGCAAATACTCAATACAGCGAGTAATAAATATTTCGATAAATGAAATTTTGTTGGACATAATTGTCTAAAGAAATACAACGAATGCATGAGATGATAGTAGGTGACAAAGTCTAAATATATCGCACATAAATTGTTTTAGATTTTTGCATAAGAAGAACTGCAATCGAACAACCTCCATCAACTACAGTTTGATGCATTTATATCGTCTCAAAACAATATTTCATGTCTTCTCTATACATAATTAGTCAATTACTGTTTATAAAATCTGGTAGATATAGAAAGAAGGAGGGTATCTAATCACTAATACTATATAAATAATTTTCTAAAACTATCTATTAATGAAATGAGAAGCAAAGGTCGTCGGCTAGCGCTCAAAACATTGGAAATCCTTATAATAACGTCTAAGTATATGTTCATAAAGATATTTTCACTATCCAACATTAGAACGTACTGTAGTTATTTAATATTTACCTTATTCTAAAGGTAAAGTACTGCGTATTTTTTAGGTGCTCGATTTCAATGATAAACTTCATTAGTCAAGCGACTATAAGTCATTACATGAAGTGCCGTAACCAAGAGGATGAATTTTTTTTAATCAACAATCAGTTGAAAAATAGCTTCAGCAAATATTTTCGATGACATTGATAGTGCGTGATTAAGCATAGCTATTAGTTCAAATACTTGTCGAAACAAAAACTTGATTGATTCTTTTCTGAGTCATTTTATGGATCGAAATCATTACTTTTGATATGCCTTAAGTAAGTACTTCGTAAACTATTTTGTGATGTTAGAGTTCGATCATGGTTTGAACTATTGCCCATAGTTTCTATATATGCTATTAAAAATCTCGAACTTCTCATCTTTCATATAGAATGTTTGGAGAGTATTTTTCAATTGCAATTATTTCTGTATAATCAACTGATGTAAATTGACTTAACTGAGATCAGTTTGCTATGCACTTTTTGATATGCATCAATCTATTTGACAGACAGCTTTTCTACAATGTTGATATGTTCTACTACTAACTTCTTAATGTGTTTTACTTTGCTCAAAGATGATTAAATTTCATCTTTTTAAATTTTCTTGTGATATTGGCAATATGAACAGCATGATATAATTATTTTCATAAACGATACTTTTCAAAAAATATTATAATCGTTTAAATAATGCTCATAATCCAAGGCAAATAAGCTGACACTCGAGCATATACATTAGGTCTAGAATTTGCATATGTTGTACATCCAGTTGCAGATACAAAACTAGCTACACCTGATACAATCCATTGTCCATTATGTTCGTATAACATTGGACCACCACTATCACCTTGACAAGCTGAATCGCCAGTACCAATATGTCCAACACAAACTTGTTTTGCTTCATCTACTTGACCCCAATATTTGTTACAATCACCAACAACTTTAACTTTAGTTTGTTTCAATTCATGATATGCAGCTTCACCGAGTTGTAAAGCTCCCCATCCAATAAGAACAACATCACCATCCGCTTGAGGTTCAGGTCCAGGTAAACATGCTGGTTGAACATATTTGTTAAATTCAACAGGTTGAACCAATCGAAGAATAGTTAAATCATTTTCTATTGTTTGTTCATTATAATTAGGATGCTTGAAGATGCGTTCAACAAGTCTTACTTGTCTTGTATCAGACTCATCATTATGTTTATTATGAAGACCAGCCGTGATTGTAATCGCAGCTGGATTATTTGTTCCAATACAATGAGCTGCTGTGAGCACATGACGTGAATCAATTAAAGTACCACCACATAAACCGAGACATATCCGATTGTTTCCACAAGGTTTTCTTTCTTCATATAGAACTTGCTGAAATTAAAAGACAAAAATGAAAGAAATTTGTGTTGTTTTTGAGAAATTATTAACATTTACTCACCCATGGCCACGAATTGCGTACAGCATGTGAACCACCGAAAATTCGTGATGATTTAAGTGAATGCTTTATCTCTGCTCGACCACATGTGCTACTTGTGATTGGTCGTGGTGTTGTTGTTGTTGTTGTAGTTGGTGTAAAATCAGTATTAGCACAACAAAATCGTATTTGAAAGTCA